CTCTGATCCAGGGTAAACAAAATCAATTCCTGACCTTGTGAAGGAAGGCCGTGTCCTCAAAATAAACAATAAATAAAAAAAGATAAAGGTGTTAGTACAGAGAGAAGTGTGGTTAGCAAGTGGATGAGGGAAAGAATCATAACATGAGTGGTTCTCACTGTAATTTCTGTACCAAATTAGTGTCACGGGGGCACTCGCGACAATGAAAATTCTGAGGTCCACTCCATACCCACTAAATCAGAAAGTAGATTTGAGCAGGAATTTGTGCTTTAGCACGCTCTCCAGGTTATTCTGATATGCATCACTGATACCCCAGTGGCTCTCTGGCTATGCCGCACATCACATACAAACCCCCAGGGAATGTTTAAAGCTGCTGCTTCCCAGATGCACTCAAGTCAGTGAATCTGGACAAGAGACATTCGGCCATTAATCTTCAATCCTTGGAACCCCCTGGGGAGCCAGCAAAATTACCTACGATTTGTAAAGCTCGCTGGTGGTTCATATTGGCAGCTGTGCTGAAAACCACGGTCCGTCATCCACCCCTTCTAAGTTACCATGAAAACGTGACACATCTAAGTGCATCTAGGCGGTCTTGTTACTGGTTGTCAGGGTCTAGGCCAGGCGTCTCCAGATTCTCAGGCTCCTATTTACCACACTGAAACAAAGGCTCATGCAGATTTGCAAAGTACCAAGGGGACTTTGTACAAAAGCCCAGTTAGCATTGACTAGAGAGAACTGTGTTGTCAGGAGTGATGGCAGGCTCCATGAGTGAGGGTAGGGGTTACTCAAGGATCCCAGGCTATTGCCTGAGGCTTCATCTGATAGGCTAAAGGCAGGGGTGTTTTTGCGTGGTTCTCTATTTTTGACCAGCAGACATGGATTATATAACATCTTTTCTATTGCACCTGTTCCTTCCCACATTGTCTCTGAATTTAATTATATTGCATGACCAGTTATGCATAATCATGAGGTAGTAAATAAGGGGGCGCTCCTAAAAGTTCACTGAGAGGACACAGTGTGTCTTACTGTGGATATACCCAAAACTAGTCTCGGCTAGATCAGTATTTGGACACAACCCAGCTGGAGTAAAATTGAATTGGATAGGGTATGCAGTTAGCACAATGAAGGTGGGAGTCCCAAGGGTGTTGTTTGAGAGGGATGTATGTGCATAGTGCATGCAGGTAAGAGTCCTGATGTGTCAAGTGCATTATAGAAAAGAGTTGTGTACGTGGTCCCAACTAAGTGGAGTACTAGCTTGCTGAACTATTTCTTAAGCTACTGCTTCAACTTGGGATCTTGTTTTCTTAAATCTGTAACATAGGCTAGGTGTCTGTCTCAGTTAGGGTTTCTGTTGCTGTGAAGAGACACAATGACCACAGCAACTCTTTTAACTAGGATGGCTTACAGTTCAGGGATCTAGGCCATTATCATCATAGTGGGATATGGTGGTGTATGGGAAGACATGGTGCTGGAGAAGGAACGGAGAGTTCTACATCTTGATCTGCAGGCAACAGGAAGTGATCTGAGTCTAAGTCTACAGTGAGTTTAGCTGGAGTATAGGAGACATCAAAACCCACCCCTACAGTGACACACTTCCTCCAACAAGGCCACGCCAACTCCAGCATTTCCTAATTATGCCACCCCGTGTGAGATAATGGGGGCCAGTTACATTCAGGCTACATTACAGAGACTAAATTATGTTCTTGGTGAATCTACCCTTGTGTTTACTTTCTAAGGTCACCAATTGGTTTTGTTCACTCAGGCAGACCCAGTGGCTAAGAAAGAGTCTGGAACACAGCACTCATAAATAGTTGCTGAGTTAGTGGGAAAACCGACATCAGTACCCTAGGGGTACTCAAGATATCTCCGTTGGTCTGCAGACATTGGTCAGTCTTGTTCTAAAAGGCCATTGAGGACAACAGTGAGACTTGTGGGTTATTGATGTTGAATCTTCAGCAGGAGTTTATTTTTTGATTTGATTTTTTTTTTTTTTTGAGACAGAGTTTCTCTGTGTAGCCCTGGCTGTCCTTGAGCTCTATCTGTAGACCAGGCTGATCTGGAACTCAGAGATTCGCCTGCCTCTGCCTCCAAAGTGCTGGAATTAAAGGTGCATGCCACCAACAGCTGGTTGTCATTATTTTAACTCTGCCAGGAATAGAACTAAGGGCTTCACACATGCCACACAAGTATCCCCCTGAGTACACTGCTAGCCCCTCACCAATAAACTTCTGATGCATCTTTAAATTCCTTTCAGGATGTTACATATCAAAAGTATCACAGGGTACCCCATAGATAGATGTAATTCATGCACCAATATTAAAAAGTAATTTCAAGCTGGGTGCTGTTGTTGCATGCCTTTAATCCCAGGAAGCATAGGCAGGTGGATCTCTGTGAGCTTGAGGTCCAGAGAGCGAGTTTCAGAACAGCTAGGGTTGTTATACAGAGAAACCATGTCTCAAAAAAAACCACACACACACACAAGAGTAATTTAAAAAAAGAATGTTCTAAGGTATCAAAAGAGGTGGATTATTTAGGCAATATATTGACCTTCCCTGAATTAGATGTTTTTCTAGTAGCTCTAACAGACACTAGAGAAAAGTGACTTAGGCCGACAGTTCAAGGGTACCGCCCATCATGGCAGACGTGTCACGGCAGCAGGAGCAGTTGGTTACTTTGCCTCTCCAGTTGAGAAGGGAGGGACTGACTATTAAACATCAAAAGTAAATTAGAAAGAAGTAGAGGGAGATAAATGCTCCTCAGCCAACTGTCTCCTTTTTATTCAGTCCAGGGTCCTGGTATCTGCACTAGTGCTTGCAGAATGCAATAGTGCTTGCTATGTGCACTAGTGCTTGCTATATGCAATAGGGCTTAGAATATACAATAGAGCTGACTGTGTTTAGGGTGGGTCTTCCCACCGTGTTTAAGCCAATCTAAAAACTCCTTCACAGACACACCTGGACATTTGTTTACTAGATGATTCTAGATCCTATGGAGTTGAAAAGGGGACTCCTGGGCATAGGCTGTGTGAGCAGAACTGCCATTTCCCTGTTTTCCCATGTCAGAAGGAACAGCAGAGGTACCCGTCTCATCTGACCGGCAGACAGATGACCTTGCCAGTCTTGCTGGGAAGTGGCAGACAGGTGCACAAGGACCTTAGGTCCTAAAGGTTCTGTTGGAGCAAAACTTTTTAGAGTTTTTCTTTAGAGCTAACCCATTAAAGCAGCACCGTTAATTTTATTTCTCAGACTCACCTTAAGGGTTTGCTGTTGTCAGTCTGGACAAATGGGCTTATGGATGGAGGAGATCACTTGGCATGTGTGCCTGCTCCTTAAGTGTCAGCTAGGAGTGTTCGTTAAGCCAAGGTGTTCTTGTTCCTCCACAGCATCCCCAGCCTCCATCTTGCCTTTGTTTCTCTTTTCTTCTTTCTTGACTTTTCCCAGTGTTAACTCTTGTTTCTGTTTTGTTTTTGAGACAGGTTCTCACTCTGTTGCCCTGGCTGTCCTGAAACTCACTATGTAGACCAGACTAGCCCTGAACTCACAGACATCCACCTGCCTCTGCCTTTCTGAGTGCTGGGATTAAAGGAATGGGCCACCAGGCCTGGTTCCTGTGTTAAACCCAGGCCCTTAAACTTGCTAGACTAGCCCTCTAGTACTGAGTTATAGTTCCAGTCCAGAATCTATTTTTTCTAACTAATGGACTTGCTTTGTGAGTGTTTCATCCTTCCCAAGCCATTTCTCCTAAAACTGGGCACAAACTAGTGGGAGACGTATCCTGTTAGAGGTTTGTTCTGTGGTTCGTGGAAAGGTGCATTTGATGCTGCTCAGGTCAGCTTCGAGGATACTGAAAGACACTAAGCTTGGTTTTGAACCATGAGAAAGGCATAAAGAGGGAAAGCACAGGGATTGAAGGAAAAGGAGCGATAAATCCGTGGATTGTAGCAAAGAGGAGATAGTGGACGGAAGCCTTCGGTAGTAGGTAGCTGAGGTGCTTGGATTCTTTTCTGCAGGCATTTCTGGGACTGTTAAACATGGGCTCTGTGAGTATCCTTTCAAATTCTAGACAGGTCCTTGCTCTCCAGCCCAGGCTCTTTGGTAACTCTTGATCCCACGTCTTCAGCCTCCCTAGAAATACGCCACCACACCCGTCTGTTTTTGTTGTGCTTTGTTTTCATTTTAATAAGGAAGAGGAGCCGGGTGGTGGTGGCGCACGCCTTTAATCCCAGCACTCGGGAGGCAGAGGCAGGCGGATCTCTGTGAGTTCGAGACCAACCTGATCTACAAAGCAAGTTCAGGACAGCTAGAGCTGTTTCACAGAGAAACCTGTCTAAAAAAGAGAGAGAGAGAGAGAGAGAGAGAGAGAGAGAGAGAGAGAGAAACAGAAAGGAAGAAAGAAAGGAAAAGAAAACTAAAGATCAAAAAAAGGGAATTGTTTGGCCTAAGGTCAGAATTAGTCAGTGAGCTTTGAACTTCAGTTTTTATTATGCCAAACCCAGAAAGCTTTTGCACATCATTTTGATGGGGAAGCTGATAAGGGAGCATGGGATCACTGCCATTATTAGTTGTAAGCACTAAAAGAAAGGAAAGAAAGGCTGAGGAAGTTTTGATGGAGAGAAGATAAGGGGAACTAGATATGGACAAAGTATTGTTTTGAGTCTTCTAATCTGCCCCTCGCCCATCTCTTTGACCTCTTCTAGCTCTGTATCTTAAGCTAAAACTGACTCTGATAGCCTTTGGAAACTTCACATAAGTATTTGTTTTGCGTCAGGAGCGCTAGGTAACCGAACCCTCAGTACTTGCCTATGCCCACAGTCACACACGCGTGTTTGCGTATTTCGTAAGACATAGGGACGCTGCCGACTTACTGCCGGCTTGCTGCGGCGTCCCCAACTAACAGCTGGACCTTGGAACTCCGCCCCCCTTAGTCCCGCCCTTGTCGCCAAGCCCCTCCCTCCTGCCTAAGGTGGCCCAACTCCCTGTTAGTCCCTGCACCGCCGGGGTGCCGGAGGAGGAGGGCGACGGGCGGGAACGGGACTTGGCTGGCGGGTGGCGCAGAAGTTTCCTCCCGCCGTGCTCTCATCCCAGCCGGCGCCCGTGCCATGCTGGAGCGCTGGGGGCGCGCTGCAGCATGAAGGGCGGCGATCAGGCTTACACCCGAGGTCCCTCTTTGGGCTGGTTCTTTGCTAAGTGCTGCTGCTGCTTCCCCTGTAGAGGTGAGTGGCATTTTAACCAAGCTGGCGGGACTGAGGAGGGAATGGGGTGAGATCTCTGGGGAGAGGGTATGCTGTGAACTGCCTTGGGCTCCGTTTCCCAGGCAGCAGAATGCGCGCGCTCTGGAGGATGCCGAGTTGCAGTTTGGGGACGGGTTACTTCCCAGCGACTTTGGACGCGGGGGACGTGGGTATGGAGTGAGAAAAGGGACTTGGAAGAGGCACAATTCAGTGCTCATTTACATACGCTTGCGGTGAACTGACTCCTGGCCGAAGGGATGTGCTTGACTCAGTTTTTTCCAAGTGACAGTTTTCTTAGGGAACGCGAGATCACTTTTCTCTGCTTGGACATTCACAGAACAACGTGGATTTACGGCTTTGGGCCAGATGCTGCCTCTTTAATTAACCAACAACTCTTTTTTGGACCCAATTAGGACTGTATTTAATTATTCTGCTAATTTTAATGTCATTGAAGAGACTGGCAGGAAGCAACTAGTTTCCCCAAAGCAGCTTGCAAAACAGAGTGAGTGAGAAGGAGGGTTGTGGGTAGTGTAGCTTCTCCTGGAAGAAAAGGGGGTGGGGTGAGTCCTTAAGCTGTTCATATCGCTTTACCACTTCAGCCTGGAGAGTGGGGAAGAAAGAATGTTTGTGTGATTTGAGACAAAAGGCCATACCTCTTATTTGGTTTTTGCCCTAATTTTTTTTCCCACCAATTGTGACTTCGGTCCAATTTACAGATCCTCAGTCTAAGACCCATAATCTAAGCAGCACCCATACCACCTTCCCATGGAGTTACCCAAGTGACCCTCATAAGCCTGGCAAACTCCCAGTCCTAAACAGCTGTGTGACCAAAGACCGATGACATCTCAAGGACCTTCTCCCGTGTCATCAAGGGTCAGCAACAGATTCTCGCATGTCTTCATTAATTTTGAACAGCCTGAAACGGAGCTGTATCCTGCTTCAAAAGTGGACTTTCAGAGGGAGGAGGGGTCGGAGTGGGCAGGGACTGGAAACCCAGGCTGGGAACTGAAGGGAGGGAGGAGGGGAAGCCGGAAGCAGCCAGTGGGATCTGAGTGGATAGGTTTGCTCTGAAGGCTGTGCTGGCTACCCTAGGATGAAGGGTTTTCAGGCAGGCTTTCTTGGGAGTCCGTTTCCGGTAAAAGAGGAATGTGGGGTTTGTGGTGGGGCACATGTCCCCTGCAGCTGGCCTTCTTGGATCCACATAGTGCAGTGCAGTTTTGTGAGTTGTCCCTGCCTTCCTTTGCTGAGCAGAGAAGTGGGGGGCCCAGGGCGCCAGCCTGAGAATTCAGAATTTGGTGGCTGCAAGCTCTGTGGCTAGGAGAGGGGGCGTGGGAAAAGGGGGTTTTCTGGAGCTAGCTGGAGCTGCCCTAGATCATGAACTAAAGCTGGTGAGAGGTGATAAAAGCTGCTACCAAAGCTGCCCTTTCACTATTCAGGCTTCTGCCCCTCACTTTTCCTAGATTTAAAAGGTGTAAGGCTGGACCTGTCTGGGGGCTGGGCAGAGTGAGATAGCATCTGAGGTGCCTAGGAAAGGGAGCTGGGAGTCTCTACTCAGCCCCAGGGCATCGATTCAGCAGCAAACAGAGAAGATAAGGTCTGTTTTGAAGCTGTCTGCTTCGTATTGCCTGGAGCCCAGAACTTTGTGGGAGGATGCCCCACTGCAGAAGGAAAGGACGCGGGAGAGGTTCCTCTGTAGGGTGTTCACCAGCTGGACTTATCTGTAGGCCTACTCACTGAAACCAGTTTCTCAGGTCTTGCAGACTGGCTACCATAGGAAGGCAGTAGGGAGCTACTTCCCTCTTTAAATAAAAGCAGCTCATCATTTTGTCTCTTTTCCCCGCTGAATTTGCTCTCTTGCTGCCTGCCTGACTCTGAGGCTCATAGGTCAGAGCCCACAGCTGTGGTCCCCAGGTCAGCCGGTGTTTGCAAACTGGTTACCTGTCTATCAGAATGTAGAGGACTCAAAACCCACCGAGCACAAAGTAAAAGGAATGAAGAAGTCAAAAGTTCTAGTTATTTTTTTTGCTTGAAGCTTAGAGAGCCATACTGAATGTCTCTGGGCGGAGTGATGTGTTTTTAGTTGCTGTCGCTAGGAAAAAAGCCAGGGATTCAGTAAATGCCCCTCTGTGGGCTATATACTTCACATTTGGCTGAAAATATGCGCCCATTTAGTTGAGCTTGTCTTCTGACTTGGAAAAGGGGGATTTCCCCCTTCTTTGCTTGTTTGTTTATATTTTGATTCTGTTGAGTACAGTAATATCACAGAGAATACCTACCTTGACATCCGGTGCTAAGGGAAAATAACAGAAGGCCCACCCTTTTCTTATAAGGAAATAGAGATAGGGTGAGGAGAAAAACATGAGCGATGTATTTACAGCTGCTTCTTTGAGAGGGAAAGCAATCAAAAGTGCAATAATGGTCTAAGGAAGAGAAGTAGATACCAGCATGTGTGTGTCTGAAGGGCTATAAATCACCGGTGTCACCCTCTGGGGGAACTGGGCACTGCTCAGGCAGCCAAACTGTCCTTTAAGAAGTGGGTCAACTTAAGCGATTTCTTTAGTTAGCTCAAAGTTTAAGAAAAAACATAAGCTGGGCAGTGGCGATGCACACCTTTAATCCTGGCACTCAGGAGGCAGAGACCCCTGAATCTCTGAGTTTGTGACCAGCCTTGGTCTACAGAGTTCCAAGATGGACAAGGCTATACAGAGAAACCCTGTCTCAAAAAAAAAAAAAAAAAAAAAAAAAACAGTAAGCAAACAAACTAAAACATAAAGAAAGAAGAAACAAACAAGATGAAAAACCTCCTGGGCCAGCAAGATGGCTCAGTGGGTAAAGGTGCTTGCTGCCAAGCTCAGCAACACAAGTTTGATCCCTGGGACCTAGTTGGTGGAAGGAAAGGACCGATTCTTTGGAGTTGTCCTCTGACCTCCACATGCAAACTGTGTTAAACACTCACCCACCACCATGATAAATGAGTAAATATATGAATTTAATTTAAAAAATAAAGCTGTTTAAATGTCTTTCCGAGTGTCAAAGGAGATTTTTAAATCGCCAGAAGCCTGTATATGTTCCACAGAATTTTGTGACTTAAATCATGGATCCCGATCTTTCTAGAAGGATGCCAATTTTAGGGCTCTCAATTTTCCAGTCAGCTTGTAATTCACTTGGGATATGTGGACAAGAACCCTCCAATTAGCCATGCTTGTTTATTGCCATCCCCAAGTCCTTATATGTGAAGCCTGGTGCTGTCCTGTCTTCTCACTTACACTGAGCTACTTCAGCAGGCTGAGCATCTCAGAGGGGAGGGTGGTGGTCCATGACTTAGTCTAAGTGAATCCACCCATGGTCCTTTCAGAACAGGGGTAGTTTCTGCTTGGCTCTGGACCAATTTCTGGAGAGTCACAGGATATCCAAAGTCAGCCTTCTCTATATTTATCTTAATTTTTTTCCCCTGCCTTTTCCCTGACTCCCTAGCCAGGAGCCTTATGACTTGATGTGATACAGCTCACTTTATAAACTGCATTTGATGTGTGAAACCATGACACCAAGTTCCTTTAAAAAGGTGTTGATCACTTGGAAGAGGGTCTATATGACGCTTTAACTCACTACCCAAGGGACAAAACTCCATGTACCTTAGACCTGAAAACTCAAATCACCATTTGACATTTAGTTTTCCCCAACATACCTCTTGGTCCCCCACCCCATGGATAAACCCTAATCTGGGGAGCGACACCAAATACACACTCTGTTCCCACACACTGTCCCCAACTGTCTCTGACTTCCATATCTCCTAACTGGTGAGGAGTATCAGGGATGTCAGCTACGATCCAGACAGTAGTGGTGAGTGCTGGACGGGAAATCCTGCTTTGGGAGGGAGCATTAAAATGCAGGTGGGCATGCAGGTGAACCCTGAGGATTATCCTGACCCCTTACAGTGATGCTGTGGGCACACCCGATTCCAGTCTGTTCCATGATATTCATTTTGAGAACCTTACCCTAGTTCCCTTCTGCCCTGAAATTTTGCCCCCTCTCTCTTTTTCAGATGATAATTTTTTATCATCCCTGCTGTACAGAGATAGACACTATGCCATAGGGTGATTTAGGACATACAGGGCTTGAACAGCAGATCTAGAATCCATCCTGATAACCTGCCTTGCACACCTGAACTTTTAACCGCTTTCTGAAAAATGTAATTACCCACTAACTCCAATTTGTGTTGTTCGTATACTCCTGGGTATGGGGCCATCTCCTGGAGCATGGTGGACTTATTAAGAACCACGCCCTTAAAGAAAACTGACTCTCACTTCTGCAGGAGCCAGTAACTGATGGTGGTTCCTTAGTTAGGGGTGGGGGCTCATGAGCCCCCTCCCATTCCATGCTAGGATGTTAGTTGGTTTGATATTGTGCAGGCCTGTGCAGGAATAGCTGTCATGAATGCAGGAGTTCCATAGTCCTGCCATGTCCAGTTTGCTCCCGCCCTCCCCAACCTCTGACTCTTAGAATCTCTCTGCCCTCTACTTCCATGATGATCTCTGAGCCTTGTGGAGGGGGTGTGATATCAATGTACTATTTGCAACTGAACACACCATGATCACTTATTCTCTGCACTTTGACCTGTTTGAGTTCTTCCATTAAACCTCCATTCACTGCACAAACCTTTCTGATGATGACCTGCACTAATCTCTAGGTAGAAAGATATGAATTCTGAGGGCAGTTTGATACTGTGGCAGTTTGGCAAAATGAGAGGAGTACTTTCACCCCAGTGCTTACGAGATTCACAAACACAGGTTCTTAGCCAGATTTGCAATATCAGACATGTGTTTGCTCCTGCGGAGCAGACCTTAAATCCAAGCAGTTGGTTACCCTTTTAGCGTCAGTGCCACTATTGCACCCATGCATTTCTTGCACCAGTAGTCATTATTGCGGTGCACAAGAGCATTAATGACTTTTTCCTCCCAACAGCCTGCGTAGTACCTTTCAGT